AATGTTTTAGAGACTTTTAATGTATAATTCAATACTACCATAAGATTAACTGAGTCACTTAAGACATTAATAAAAATCAAGGTTCACTTTTATTTTTTCCTCTCAGCCTAGGTAGATGTGATCTGAATACTGTAGGGATGAGGGTCTCAGCAAGTAATGATGGAAGGAAACATACACCAAAGCTGAATAATTGTATATTTTAGCTGGAGGCCAATAGGAGGAGGAATCTGGTGGCATTCCTTTCAGACACTCCTTATGCAGTTTCATTTGAAGGGCCAAGGTAGGTGCGGAGAACAAGTTGGCAATGTGCTACACTTTGCCTATCTCTCCTATTTGGGAGAGGAGGTGTGGGGGCAAGAGCAGGGAAAAGACAGAAGGAGGTAGGAGGTGGGGGGTAAGGAAGGGAGAGAGTACATGTATACGTTTCAATTTTTCTGGGAAAGACGAGGTAGGCACAGAGATTCAAGGTAGATGCTCTATTCTGAAATAAAGATTTGACTTTCATGGAAATTTGCCCTATTATTATATAATAAATGAATAACTTTTAGTAAAATCTATAAAAGAATCCAGGAAGCTAAAGTTTAGAAGGTAACAAAACTTGAAAAATGAGCAAAAGAGAATTCTAGGTAGTTGAGAAAATCTGAATCTTCTCATACTTCCTCAAAATGATACAAACAAAAGAATAAAACCAAAAAGAATCTCATATTTTTACCATATAAGAAGACAAAGAACATGAAAAGTATTTCACATTAACTAATGGAGGAAGTAAATATGTTTAAAATAATAACAAGGTTTCTCATTGTTAGAAAAAGAACGGCAAATACAGAAATCAGCTAGACTAAAATGAACCCTATTATGTTAAATTAGAATTGGGAAATTAGTATGAACTCATACTTTTATATGTATGTGTTTATAATATACATATATATATATGAACACACACACAACAATAAATATAAATATGGGCATGTATGTGCCATATGTATGTACATATAGTTATATACACATAACTATATGTATACATAAACATAAATACACATACACATAGAAATTATCTTGGTTTCTAAATAACATGGTTTCTAAATAACATGGTTCTAAATAACTTGGTTTCTAGGACTTCTAGAATAAATGGCTTATTCTAGATCTGGAAAAGGAAACATATAAGATAAACCTGGAATATCTTATGTTAGAAAGTAAGAAACTGTTCAAAGAATGATGGAGATGTCAAAAGGATAGAAGAGAAAACTTGAAGAGGTACTTACTATCCAACTCTCGGACGAAGTGAGCATCAAATAAATAAAAAATAGTTATATATTTGACCCACTGAATAAAATAAAAAGTCTTGACTCCATTTAGATACAAATCCATAATTGAATGAATGGATGGATGGAGGGAGGGACGGATGGATGGATGGATGGATGAATGAATGAAGTAATTAATGAAAAGGAAAAACCCATCTTAACAGTCAAATGTCATCTAGTAAATGTGAAATAAATGAGTTAGAAAAGCACTATTGGGGGACGCCTGGGTGGCTCAGTCAGCTAAGCTTATGACTTCTGTCTATCTCATGGTTCATAAATTCGAGCTCCACATCCCTGCTGTCAGCCCAGACCCCATTTCAGATCCTCTGTCCCCCTGTGTTTCTGCACCTCCCTGCTCACGCTCTCTTTCTTAAAAATAAACAAACAAAAATAGATTAAAAAATAAACATTTTTTTTAAAGTACTGTTTGGCAAAGAGTGTAAAGACAACTGATTCAATTTAGAAGCATCAATGGAGAATATCTCCTATTTTAAGTTGGTTGAAATCTCCAGATTCTAGGGTACATGATCATGATAGTGAAGCCATTCAGGAACCTTTTTGTAATCACAGAAAATAAAATTCGTGTGGCAAAAGGCAAGGGATGGGTATTTCCAGATTTTCAAAAAGAAAGAGGGGGAAAAGAGAAACACATATATACATACACACAGAGTGAGAGAATTCTGTAAATTTAATGAATAAATGTTTATAATAGATTGAGAAAAATCAGTGATAATTATTAAAAGTCCATCACTGACAGGAAAGATGTCCGAAAATATTTTTCTAATATTCATTCTTCTAGAGTAAGGAATAGATTCAGTAATTTCTGGAAGTATGATAGAACTGTCCTAAATACTTGCAACAGATGTATAAATTGAGTTCAAAGTCATTATCTGATACATTTTGTTTTAATACACCATTTTCAAATCTATCAGTGTGAAAAAATTATTTCCCGGATGTACCTTTTACTGCTACAACTGAAAACACTGTCAAACTCCTACCTACTCTGTGATCCCTCGGAATCATCATTGATTCACTGGGAACACACGACAGCAATCAATGAGAGTATCATTAATGAACATATCTTGATTTTAGTAAAGTATTTAAAAGATTCATTACATCTTCTGGACTATATTGAGCAAAATATTTGATGAAAAATTTTTTTTCTATTTGAACACAAATGCAAGAGTCATAGTAATTGGATCACTCTAAAAAGTGATTTTGGTCAAAATCTTAGTTACATGGAGTGCTCTTGAGAAATACAAATCTTTTTTACACAATCATGACATTGCACATGGAATTTTAATGCCTTCTGTCCAGCTGGTACAAAAACTCCACTCTTTATTGACTAAACAGTAAAACCTTTCCTGTCACCTTCTCTAACAGCTCTGTTTTTATAGGACTTCACACTTTTCTCTATTGGCATGTATTTCCTGTAATGTTTACATATCACTGCTCCTAACTTCTCTATGAGAATTTAAAAAATAAGCCCAAGCCTTATCCAAGCACTTGGATCTGGGTACATGACTAGTGTCTGACACTCAATTAGTTAACGTATGATGAATGAGCAAAAGAGGAGCATAGGCATGTTAAATTTCTGGTGGTTGTTTCTGTAATTACAATTATGTTGAAACAAGTTAATTAGGAAGAGTTCCCTTGAAAAATCAGAATAAAAATCTGTTTCAAAAACATTACAAGAAAACTTGGGAAAGCACTTTTATCTAGACTTCTACAAAAGGAGAAAGAAAAAGAAAAACTATATACAGCTTGTTTTTCTAAGTGTATTTTTCTCTCAATTTAATTTTATCTATGGAAATTATTCATGTTCTCATGAGTGTTTTTCTCTATGAATATACAAGTTAAAAGATTAAATTATTGCTTTCTCTTAACATTATTTATTAGTTTATCATACACACACACACACACACACACACACAAGACTAAAACTAGTCACAATTCCATTTCAGGAGAATTGGTCTTCTATCATCTGGCAAATAGATACAGATTGACTAAATATTGAAACAAACATATGTTCAGCACAATATCTGGAAATAGACTAAAAATAAATTCAGGGTGACTCTGCCACATATAGTTATAACCACTCTCAATGGCAAGGCTTTTGAAAGACCCTTCCTCTATTAAATGCATGATACTTTGAACCTGGCATCTAATCATTGAAATGCATCCAATTTCTTCAACATCTGTCCATTGAATTAAGCAGTAATGAGATTTTTTTACTAAAATGATTTTTTAAATTTAGCCAGAGTGCTTCTATATCAAAAATATTATTCAATAAATGGGCAGAATAATACCCAGTTGTTAACATAGGATAAAGTTTTATGATTATAAATTATAAAGTGAATACAGTACAGAATTAAGCTCAATAGTATTTATCAAAGTTTTATTAATTATTTTCCCCAATACATTCATTTTTTTAAAAAAATTCCCCACATAAAGAACATTTAAAAAAAAA